GATCTACAATTTCCATATAAAAATTTTCCGCTAGCTTCAATAGTTTACGAGTAATTTGCGAAAAACTGTTTTTTCGTTTTTCGTCCATAACTCTTTAAATATTAATGCTAGCGAAAAATTTTTACATGGAAATTGTAGATCTCGTCGTCCTCTACAAGAAAGGTTGTATGCAATTTTCCCGTAGGACCAACGGTTTAGGAGTTATTGAGGAAAAACGAAATTTTTTGCCAAAAGTTCGCCGTTTCGACGGTGGAATGGTCGGATTTTGTCAACATCAATAAAATGCCATATAATGATACGTAACTCGTTAAATATCGAAGTTAGAAGGAAAACAACTTTTATTTGAAGCATTTTTCGCAATTTTGAGAAAAAGAAATTTTCGTCAGCGTCAATACTTAATTGGATATTTCCTTCTATACTTTTTAGCACGTAGCTATTTATTATTAGCATTATTCTTCCGACGTCTGATTTCTTTTTAATTATAGAAAATGCGTTTTTCTTAGGTACATAAACTTTTGGGATTGACTGTATAGCCAATACATCCTTAAAGTGCCTTAGGCAAATAGTAAGAAAAGAACGCGAGGTAATTGCAATTCAACTGGATGAAAGTATTATGAGATGCATGAAAGCAAACCGGTGGATGGATCGAAAATCAAAATGTAGCAAATCAGTGGTAGAGACAGAGATAAACAGGCAGGAGGTTCGAATCTATGAGCCGTCGAGGAATCGTGAGTGTTCTGGAGCGACGATTCTCAACGTCACCGCTGAGAGTTCAGTTTCTCGATAACGGGAGTGGGTTAACTCGAAGTTAACTCTCGATGGGTGTGTGAGTCAATGCGAATGGGTCATCGGTCAGGAAAAAAAAGAACGAGATGCAATTTGTTTTCTGGTTACGAGAGACCCGGGATAAACGCGGATTCTCATTCGCAGTAGACGGAAACACATAGAGGAGGGGATCGAACAGACTCCGGGGATTGTCTGACAAACCAGAGGTAAATTTTCTTCAGCGGGTACCTCGTTGAAGTCCAATGTCAAGTCCACCTTATCCGTGACGAGCACGCAACAAACAGACACATACCGATCAGTAATCGTAGCTGTACAAGGTTTTCTTTTACGTACTATTGTATGTATGCATACACAGGGTGTTATCAGACCGATGGTGCAACTCGAAGAATTCACGTGAAACTTTCTTATTAATCAATGTATATATTGCATTAGCGCAAAAACTCTTACATAATGTGTAATTATTATACGAACGTTTATATTAAAATATTTCTATCTAGCCATCCCTTATAAGCAGTTGGATTTTCGTAGAAATTGGAAAATCAGATCGAAGTCAGACGTCAAACAATTACTATTATTATTATTATTTCAAAGAAATAATATTTTAATTGCTTCCAGAGCAGTTTTTGTTTTTTGTAGCTCGATGCCTTCAGTTTTTTCAAAGAATAATTTTTCCTTTCAGCAAGTTGCACTATTAGTTTGGTAACACGTATGTATAGGTAGAACTTGTAGTATTCATGTCTGATATAATTATTCTCTTCACTTACCACTCCGAGGGACTCCTTCTTGTTCAGCCGCAGCTCCCTCAGCATCTGATTCCTCTGCTCCATCATCAGGGTCCTCTCGTACGTGTAAGCGGATATATCGGAATCCATCTATAAACAATAAGTGTTCAAATGATAATTATTTTTTCATTTACCATTTCATTCCTTAATTTGATT